CTAGTGCCATCTGTCGCAAACATGCGTCATGACTTTTCCGACAACCCAACAGAAATCAATGAAATTGAAGTCAGGAAATCAAGAGAGAAAATAAATGAAACCAAGAACTGGTTCTTTGAAATCTCATCAGAACCAGCAAGGGACATTGTCTATCCCCAAGCCTAGTGCTGGATAGAAGGGGGGAAAACCTCTCCTGTGAATTTTTAACCACAAGCCAGCCTGAATAAGTTTGCAACCCGAATTGACAACACCTGGGTGGTCCAAACAACGCCTTGAAAATTTAGTTTGAAGTGGTGCAGGATTGGCATCTTACCAGGTAACTGATAACTGGAGGAATTTACTTTTAACCCAATCTCAAAATATCCCCATTGATAAAATTCCAACAAATATACACAGTCAAAACTCAGAAATTGCAAGATAAGAAGGCATTGTGAGCAAGAGCCAATATAGATGCTAGTCTGCATAATCAGGCTTTAAAGACATAAAATATTACCAAACAATATAACATGTGTTTTCAGTATATTTAAAGAAAAAAAGAAACTTTAAGTACAGAGCAAGAGAGTATGTAAAATGATCTAGCAAATTTGAAAAAGAACAAAATAGAACTTCTAGAAATGAAAAGTAAAATATTTGACATGTAAACCTCAATGGATGAGTTGGTACAACCATTTAAAAAAAACAACAGATTGGTTTAGCAGCTGAAGAAAGACTAACTAGAAGATATATCTGTAGAAATGATCCAGAATGCCAGAAACAGATAGAAAATATAAGCTATTAAGAGACAAGGAGGATGGAGTGGGGGGAGGTCTAATAAGATTTCCAGTAGGAACAGAAAATATCTTAAGTTATGACTGAGAATTTTCTAGAATTGATAAAGGGCATCAATTCATAGAATCAGGAAGCCTAAGGAACCCTGTTAGGATAACTATAAAGAAAACCATATTTGGGCACATCACAGTAAAACTGCAGAGTACCAAAGACAAAAAAATCAGATGGTGACAAAAAATATCTTCAAAGAAACACTAATAACAAAAAATATTGGGTTGTCAGAAAAGTCATGATGTATTTTTTTTGTTTTTCGCTGCAAAAATGCAACATCACTGATCCGACAACACAATAGATGACAGCTGACTTAGCAACAAGGGAGACCAAAAGACGGAATAGTATTTTCAATACATTGAGGGTAAATAACTATGAACCTAGAATTCTATACCCAGCAAAAAATAACTTTAAATAAAAAGATAAAAAACTAGAAGTAATGGGAAAAGTAGTACAAAATAAAGCGGTAGATATATACCCAAGTATATTAATTACAATAAATATGAATGACTAAATGCTTCAATTAGAAGACACTGCTATCTAGACTTTATAATCCATCTATAGCTTTTTTTTAAAAGAAATTTTATTGGGGAACAGTGTGTTTTTCCAGGACCCATCAGCTCCAAGACAAGTAGTTGTATCAATCTAGTTGTGGAGGACGCAGCTCCTTGACCCATGCAGGAATCAAACCGGCAGCCCCGGTGCCACGAGCCCTTGCTCTAACCAGCTGAGCCAACTGGCCGCCCCTATAGGCTATTTTTTAAGAAAGTGATTGAAAGTAAAAGGATAAAAACTCTTAACATAGCTGGAATGGAAGGGAACTTTCTCATCCTAATAAAGGGCAACAAATAAAAAAACAGCAAACACATTTTATGGTGAAATATTGAAATTTTTCCCTCTAAGCTCAGAAACAAGGGTGCCAGCTACTTTCCCTCTACCCATTCACAAGGGGCAAGAAAAATAAAAGGTATAAAAATTAAAAATAGCAACTGTCTTTTCATAGATGATATGAATAAATACAGAAAACTCAGAATTTACAAGTAAATTATAAGACTAAGTTTTAGGTTTGCTGGATACAATCTATTTTCATAACCATGCACAATAGCATAACAATATAAAATACTTAAGAATACATCTAACAAAAAAGGCATGATCTTTATGAGGAAACTGTATATGACTTGACTGAAAACATTAAATGGAGAGACACCATGTTCATGAGCTAGTAAATTCAATTTCATGTAGATATTGATTTTCCCAAGACTGATCTATAGACTCAGTGGGTCTCATTCACAATCTCAAAGGGGTTTTTACTGGTGGAACTTGACAGACTGATTCTAAAATCTAGATGGAAGAGCAAGGACCACGAATAGATCTTAGGGGATCCTACGCAAAGGTGGATAAAATGACCAGTAGGACGATAGGGAAATATAAACTGGTCTACAGCAAAAGGAATACAATACAGCTGCATACATTCATTTGGATAAATCTCAGGAACAATACTGAGTGGAAAAGCAAGTCACAGAATAAACATGGTATGATTCCATTTATATAAAATTCAAAAACATGCAAAACCCAAGCAAACGTGTGATAACATTACAAAGCAAAGCCAGGGAATGGATAAGCCAGCAGTGTCCCCTCCACCTACCGGGAGGGGCGCAGCAGGGACTTCACAAAAAATGGTATCCATTTTTTACGTGGGGATGGGAGGGTGTTGTTTCTCGTTATAAATATTTTCTTGCATCCTATTTAAAAACAAGAGATATTCTGGAGGGTGAGGGGTAAAGCAGAGGAGGAAACAGGCAGTCTGCCAATGCTGTGTATGCGTACAGCACAAAGTGCCAGGCACACCAAGTTCCTAACACAGTGGAAAAATAGTAATAGAGCATACCACTTGGAAAAACAAAAAAAGTCCTAGCAGCTCAAACCTCTGTGGGCATGGCAGGGCCTGCCAGAAGGGTGGGCTTCTCTGTGGGTTCTTGGGGAACAAGCCTGCCATGTCACTGGAGGGCCCCTCTCCAGCAGCTTCTGTGGACTTTCACTTAGCCCCATTTTTGGTCCAGCCCCTCTCCCCTACTCTCCCCAGTGCCTAAGACCCCAAGCTGCTTCAAATAGCCTCCACCTCCACCCCAGAGGGGTAGCTGCTTGGCTGCAAGGGGTGGGGTGGGTGCTGGGGGAGGAGCAACCTAGCTGCTCCTCCTATCAATCCCTGCTGTCAGCCCCCAACCTTGCCCTCCAAGGTGCTGGTGGAATTCCTGAGCCTCTCCAGGGTTCTGGGGAGCAGTGTGGCTGCCTTTTGGCCCCTCCCTCTGGAAACACAATTTCAACTTCTACTTCTCTGCTAAGAGAGTAAATAAGCCTCCATCCACTTTCTGTCTTTCAAAATGCCAGGCTCTTTGGTCTACTGCTGTCTCCCTCCTATTTTTTTTCTCCTTGTAAATTTATATCTTTAAGAAAGTTTTTTTTTACTATCATTTTAAATTTTAAGAGGAAACAGAGATAAACCCATGTGTTTAAACCTGGCACATTTAACATTTAACTCATTACTATGTTTAAATAAAAATGTTGGACAAGTGTCTCCCAAAGCGCTCAGAGAAGCCCCCTCAGCTTCGTAGATGCCTGAACTCCCCCCACCCGATTTCTCTGCCTTGATTGTCCCACTCTCCTCCTTTGACTGTGCAAGGGTGAAGGAGAAAGCACCAAGACCTGGGTTCAAATTCTGACTCCTTCACTTACTACCCCATGCAAGACCTTATCACATCAACTCTCAGAGCTTTCAATTTTTCACCTGCATGATTGCTGCCGAGTGTACCAAGGTAGCTAGAGAGAGGTTCGGTGAAATTGTGGAAATGCTTCTAACTATCAAGCACTGAACCTGGGAAAGAGTTTCAGATTCTCATACCCTGGATCACTACATGCCACCCTGGCCTGCTGGTGCTCCCACCCCCATCCCACCAAGGTCACAGGAGGCAGAGCCCTGACCCCTCACATGCTCAGACACCTTGGGGCTCCCAGGCCTGACAATCAGGAGCCTGGAATAGCAGTCTGGGCACCAGAAACCCACAAAGATGCAGTGGGTCCAAGAACCAAGTGGGCGCTTTATTAACCTGACAAAGGGGTGGCCCCTTGGCAGACCTTCCACTGCACTCGGGGGCCACTGATAGAGGCAGAACTGCAGGGTCCATGCCCTGGATACTGAGTCCACGCTGGGCAGGGGCAAGGACAAGGATGGGGCTGGAGCTGCTAAAAAGCAGACATTAAGTACCAACCCGCCTGCCCCCCCTAAGGCTGGCGGTGGGTCTGAAATGAGTTAGGAGCCCCCTCTCCTGGTTCCCTCGCCCTGTACAGCTCTGGCTCTTTCTGGAGTCAGGAAGCCATGAGTCCCACATCACCTGTGGTCTGGAAGGTGATCCCGTCCCCAGGCAATGGGGAGGCCAGGAAGGGCCAGAGCCAGACGAGGACCCAGCGGGGCCCCAGGGCCGCCTGCAGGTTGTGACAGGGGCCCAAGTCATAAGAGTGCTGGCCCCGAGCCCACTCCCACGTGGTCTGGCCCCGAAGCAGCAGCGTCCCATGGAAAAGCAGCCCAGCCCCGCACAGCAGCGCACCCGCCACACATGTGTCCGTCACGAAGGCCAGGGCGAACTGCGCCAGAGACACTCTGCCTGCGAGGAGAGAGCAGAGAAGGTCAGGGGACAGCAGCAGGTCCACCTCCCTCCCGAGAGCCCAGCTTCTCCTCCCAGCCCCTACCCTCCACCATGAAGTAGGGCTCATACCTCCCTCAGCACAGGTGCTACTCCCTGGCTGGCCCCTGCTGGGTGATGGGAACACACCCATGAACCTGGCAGACACAGCCCTCTGCCTTATAGACGACTTTCATTCATGCATCGCGAACTTGTGAGCGCCTCCCATGTGCTGGACACGGTGCCAGGCACGGCGAATACCAAGATGAATGGAAGATAGCATCTCTGACCTCTGGGAGCTCACAGACATTCACGAGATTGCTTCTGGGCCGGCCGAGTGGCGCGTTGGGTAAGAGCTGGCTTGGGCACCAGCTCTGAGTAGCAGGGCCCCGGTTCAGATCCCACATGAGGGCCAGTGACACTACCCTCTACAGCTAAGATGGTGAACAACAGCTCGACCTGGAGCTGGGCTGCTGTGAGTCGCTGGCGACAGCGTAGGCTGCAGTGGGGCTGCCGTGAGCTACCGTGAGCAGCCGGCAGCCAGCGTGAGCTGCCAAGAGCCACCGAGAGCAGCTTTCCAGTGGCCGGCGACCAATCTACCTCACCTGGGAAGAGCGCAATGCTAATACCAACATGGGCCAGTGAAGCGACATCCTCCACAACTAGACTGAAGAACAAAAGGACAGCAACTTGTCTGTTCCCCTTCCCCAATTCCCCAAAGCTGTTCCCCTCCCTCAATTCCCCAATAAAATCTTTAAAAAAAAAAAAAAGATCGCTTCTCAGTTACTTAATTATGTAAGCTGTGATGTGTGTTACTGAAAAAGAAAGGCATCTCGTACCATCCCTGCCTCCTGTGGTAGGTTGTATTTGCTGAACTAATGAACTACAAGATGTCATGAAACATTATGCTAAGCGAAGAGGCCAGACACAAAAGGTCACATGTATGATGCCACTTATACGAAATGTCCCAAATAGGCAAATCCATAGGGACAGTAGTTTGGTGGTTGCCAGAGGCTGGGGGGATTCAGAGGGAATGGGGTGTCACTGCTTAACAGGTACATATGGGCTTCTTTTGGGAGGTGATGAAAATGTTCTGGAATTAGATAGTGGTGGTGGTAGTGTAACACTGTGAATGTACTAAATGCCACTGAATTGTGCACTTGAAAATGGTTACAAATGATGAATTCCATGTTACGTGAATTTTACTTCAATAAAGAGCCTATGGGGGAAATGCCATGCACACTTAATAGGAGGCTAAGGCAAGTGGACTTCATCTGTTTTAATCAAGTGATATTATGAGTGGGGCCTGAAGGTTAAGGAGGTATTTATGTGCTAGGTGAAGAGGGGAGAAAACATTCTGTTTGAAGGTCCTGAGGCAGGACAGAGCAGTGCATGTGAGATAAATGACGGACAGTGCTGGAAGCTCAGGAGAGAAGCCCAGGCTGGACACAGATTTGTGGGGATTCAGTCACAGGCAGTTCAGAGACCAGCGAGAGTGTGCAGAGCAAGATGGGGATGGGGCCTTGACCTCAGCACCAGGAAACCATGTCCTTAGGGACCAGATAAAGAAAAGGAAACCAGAAAGAAGGAGAAAACCCAAAGTACGAGCTGTCGGTGACACCAAGGATAGAGCCCTTCAAGGAAGTTAGAGGGCAGTGGTTTTATGAGGCTGAAAGGTCTAGTGAAGCAAGAGACTCAAAAAGGTTCTGTGGGTTTTGTGGAGACAGAAGCCTGGGGACCATGGCAGTCTCAGAAGAGTGGTGGGGAACAGAAGCCAGCTTGGAGCAGGTAGAGGAATGGGGGGGAGGTGAGGAAAAGCAGCCCGTGAGCCCAGTCAAGTCCTTCAAGAACTTTGGCTGCTGACAAAAGAGCCAGAGAGAAGAGCTAGGAGAGGAGGATGTGGGGGGAAAAGAGGACGAGAGGGTTTTGGGGGCGGGGGGGTGGACCTGAAGGCGGCCAGTAGAGGGAGCCTCTGAAGGCAGGAGAGGCCAACCCCAGTGCGTGGCCACTGAGCAGGGAAGAGGGGCCAGACACCAGGAGAAGCTGGGGGCAGTCAGCCTGGCTTAGAGGTCTGAAGACAGGACAATTCTGGAGGTACCAACTCATGTCTCGTCTTCTCTGTGATGGATTTTCAAGAGATGGGGGCTTGGAGGACAGGAGAGTGTGAAAGTTTGAGCTGCAGTCATCAGGGGGAGCAAGCTGATGAGAAACTAGGACAGCCAGGCACAGCGGAGGGCCTGTTGAGGTCAGAGGCCATACGTGGCATAGTACCAACGTGCCATGAAGTATCATGCGTCCCTGGCAGCTCTCAGCAGCTGGCATAGAGAAGCCAGGGAGGCACAGTGGAAGGAAGACGGTGCGAAGTTCTGAGATATTGGCAGGAGAATGGTGGGAATGAGGGCTCCAAACTGGACACGGAGGGTAGTGAAGGTACCGATGGACAGAAAGGTGAGAGCCAGGAGCTAACGGAGCAGGTGCAGTGGAGTAAGAGTGAGAGATGGATAGGAGGGGACGAGGGGAGCAGAGAGAGGGGCGGCCGATGGGGAGTTGGGAGGTGACACATTTTAGATGCTGACAAGGTCTGGGGTGCAGACATGGGAGTAGGAGAAGGAAGTAAAATGGAGAAGGTCAAGAAGCTGAGTGACTGGGGCACTGAATAAATCATTCGCCCAGACTGTCAGACACCCATGATTTCAACAGGGCCCAGGGCTGAGAGACAGGGACTGGGCGCTGGAGTCCAAATCTTCAGAGACTGAGAGGCCTTGGATAGCCACAGGGAGGCGGGTGTACGGAGGTGCAGCCGAGGGCTTGAGTCTCGGTAGAGGCAGGGAGTCATCAAGGGGGGCTGCTCAGGAAGCCAGTGTGGGCAAAGGAAGACACTGCAACCTCACTGGGCCTCGCAAGGTCTCCCCTGGGGCTGCAGGGAGGGGGTCCTTGGGACAGAGCTGGGCTTGGATCCCATGAGGAGACACAGCAACCATTCAGTGGTCTAGGAGTTACACAATCACAGGACAAGGTTAGAGAGGACCATGGAGAGGTCAGGAGGAAGGAGTCAGGGGAGAGAAAGCCCAAAGCGTTTTGTGGGGGAGGGAAAGAGGAGTATAAAAGACCAGCGGGGTTTTACCGTGGGTGGTGGCAGAGAAAAGATGAATAAATGTGTCACCCAGAACAGCCTTTCAATCAGCCTCCCGATCCAATCTTCCCCTCCTGACTTCCAAAGACTGGGCCTTCCCCTCCCTGTAACTTTCAGTGGCCCCCCACTGCCCAGTCAAGTAAGGGCCATCTCCTCACACCAGCATTCAAGGCCTCCACCATCCAGTCCCAGCCTATCGTCCTAGCCTTAATTCTCACAATTCCCATCAAATTGCCTTCACGACTCCCTGCCCAATACACACCTCCCCACTCACCCCACCCGCTACCCCCCACCCCAATGAACTCCTCAGTCAACACTTCCTGGAATCCCTCCCTGACTCTCCCAGCCAGAACTCTGAACCTATATTCAGGCCCTGTATTTCACCATACAGCATGCCCACTTGAATACAGGCTGCCCTCCCCGCCCCATTAATGACACTGCGAATGGGTCCCCAGGGAATTGCCAGAACCAGCCCCAAACCACGTGTCCCACCAGAATGCCCCGCCACCGGGGCCTCTGCCTCTTCCCGGAGGCCTCCCGGGCTCCCACCTGTGAGCAGCATGAGCCAGGGCAGCAGCAGCAGGGCCGCGGTGTGGAGGGGCGTGTGGGCTCGAAGCAGGGCTGACAGGGCCGGGCCCAGCAGCACAGACACGTGGAGCAGGACGCCTGCGGCATGCAGCAGCAGGCACAGGAAGGGCCGATAGTTGCGAAAGCCCACGCAGCGGCCCAGCAGGCGGCAGTGGTGGTCCCGACGCAGGACGCAGATGCGGCAGGCGTAGCAATGCCCGCTGCGCGGTGGCACCTGGCTTTGGCACTGGTAGCAGTAACTGCAGGGAAGGAACCTCAGGGTCAGTTCCCCCAGCAACTCTGAGTGCCCCATCTCAAGCCCAGGTCAGCCGCTGAGCCCACCTCGGGGAAGCAGTGGCTGCCTTCCCTAAGCCTCAGACGCTTCCTAGGTAAATGCAGGTTGAACACCACTTCCCAGGCCCTTCCAGTTCTAGCAGGGCAGGTCTGAGGTCATTTGCAGCTCTGACATCCCCAGTCCTAAGGCCTGTCTCTGGCCTCTAACATCCAGGAACAAACTTCTCACTTCCTCCACAAGACACCACCTGGCCAGAGTCACCATGACCTCTGCCCTGGATTATTGCAACAGCCTCTTGACTGGTCTCTCTGATTCCACCTTTGTCCCCTCCTAGTGTAGTGTCACCCCAGTAGCCAGACTGATCCTCAAAAATCTATGTCCCAGGCCTACCAAGTGGAGCATTGGTTAAGAGCCGGTTTGGGACGCCAGAGGGCCGTGGTTCGGATCCCACATGTGAGGGCCAGTGACACTGCCCTCTACAGCTAAGATGCTGAACCTGGAGCTGGGCTGCCATGAGTGGCCTGCGACTGCTAGACTGCAGCTCCTGCTGCAGTGGGTTGCCATGGGCTACCATGTGTAGCCAGCAGCCTTCGTGAGTAGCCAGCAGCTGCTGTGAGCGGCCGTCCAGAAGCCAGCAACTGATCTGCCTCGCCCAGGAAGAGCGCAATGATGGTGCCAACTTGGGCCAGTGAAGCAACATCCTCCACAACTAGACTGAAGAACAAAAGGACAGCAACTTATCTGTTCCCCTCCCCCCAATTCCCCAGCGCTGTTCCCATCCCCCAATTCCCCAATTTAAAAAAAAAAGAAAATCTATGTCCCTCCTCTGCTCAAAACCCTCCAATGGCTCTCCATCTTACTTCTAGTAAAAAGCAAAGTCTTCAATGTCCTACCAGGTCTTTACATCTCTAACCTCTCTCCTCTCTTTCTCTCATTCCACATCAGCCACGCTGGCCTTCTTGCTGTTCCTGGAACATGCTAAACATGTAACTGCCTCAGAGCCTTTGCAATGTCTGTTCCCTCTGCCTGGAACACTCTTACACGCTGATTCTCACATGGCTAACTCCCCCACCTTCTTCAAGTCTCTCTTCAAATGACATCTTCTCAACAAGGCCTACTTGACCACCCTATTTAAAACTGGAACTTACACCTGTTCTGCTTTTTGTTTCCATAACACCTTCTAACATTCTATATATTTATTATGCCTATGGTTTATTATCTGCCCCTTCCCACATTGAAATCAGCTCCAGGAGGTCAGAAACCTGCTTCATTGTACCTCCAGTGCCTGGAACAGTACCTTGCACATAGTAGGTGCTCAGTAAACATTTGTAAGTCAATGAATGATATTCCTTCCGGCTCTACCGTCCCAGGTTCTAAAGGAGTTCTCTGGCTCTAACATGCGGATCCTACTGTAATTTTGTTCTAACATCTTCAGGTCCTAGGGCCCCTCCCCCTATCCAAGCTCCCGCTTCCCTGCCGGATCCCGCACCCCACTCACGCCCAGCCCTGGCCCAGACCGCGGCCGGCCAGCATCACTCCCCGGATGCTAGGATCCGAGCGCAGGAAGAGCCCCACGTTGCCCAGCAGGTTGAGCAGCTGGAAGGCGGCCAGCGCCAGCTGCAAGGCCCGGGCCAGGGGTCCCAGTGGGGGCGGCCCGGGACCCAGCACCAGCACGTAGGCCAGTTCCAGGCTTACGGCCGCGGCCCACAGCGCAGTGAGCACGAGGGGCAGCCGCGCGGACGCCCCGTCCGCACTCCCCCAAGGCTGCTCCATGGCCTGAACCCAACCGCTGTCGGATCCCGAGTACCCCGCCGCTTCCGTATTGGGGCGGGGATAGTGGCAGACGGACGTCTCCCATGTCCAATAGAAGCTCTGCAGGGGTGCTGTGAGAGTTCACAGGGAGCAGTCGGCAGATTCGGAGATGTGATTGGACGGCCAAATGAGCCAAGGGAGATGCTTGGAATCTTGTTGGCGCTAGAGCCCAGGAGGGCCACGACATTATAGCCCCGCCTGCCCACGAAGGCCCCGCCCCACCCGCTGAAGGCCCGCCGGCTGGCCTGGCTATCCTGCACGCTCGCAGGATTGAGTTGCACCCTCGGTGGCGTCGGGGTTTCCCTGCTCAGCACATTCCCGCTCATCCCTCAGCCGTCCAGATATTAATAGCCCTGCATCGGTCCAGCCAGCTGGCCTGGAGCCCCTCCCCATGCTCGAGTGTCTCCCTTTATCACCCCAGAAAACATTGAAAACAGCTCGATGTCTTGGTGTTTCTGACTGTGAAATGGGGATAGGGTTCCCTGTTTCCCACCAGCGCGGTGCAGGAAGAGGGTCAGGAGGAGGCCCAAAGGGCGGCTTCAAGAGCAGTCTGTAGCTACTATTATCAGCATCTCCCTTGCACACTTGAGGAAACAGAGAGGGTCCGTGGCTTTCCCAAGGTCACACAGCGCCCAAGTGGCGGAGCAGAACGCGAACCCCGGATCTCCGCCACTGGATCCACCCCAGCACCCCCAAATTCTGCAGTCCCCTGGCTCCAGGGCAACCTTTTGCCTGGTCCCGACCCGAGCGCCCTCGCCCCCATCCGGCCCCACCCTCCTCCCCCATATTTAGCGCGAATCCGATCCGGGGCTGCGCCCGGCGCTACTTAATGCCGCCCCGGTGTCCTGGAGAGCGCTGAGCGGAGCGAAGCCAGGAGCCCGAGCAAGATGATGGTGGTTATGCAGCCCGAGGGTTTCGGGACCCGGGAGGGGCCCTTTGCGGAAAGCGGCGGCGAGTACATGGAACAGGAGGAGGACTGGGACCGCGACCTGCTGCTGGACCCGGCCTGGGAGAAGCAGCAGCGGAAAGTGAGTTCTAGCCCATTTCTTGATGGAAAAACTGAGGCCTGCTAAGCTGGGCAGTTTGTCGTTGGCATCTCAGCAGATCAGGGGCAGAGCCTGCAGAGCACCACTCCCTAGCCCAGGCTCAGCCCATCAGTCCTCTGCTGTCCCCGAGGGCTGGAAGAGAGGGCTTGGAGCACTCATGAGGGGTTTAGGATGACAAGGAGAATTTCTGGGGTCCCCTTACCCCCAGAATTAACTCCCCTGGGCCCACTGCCCCATTTCTGCTGGTGAAAACCAGTTGGGCTTAGCAGAAGAGATCTGAGTTTGGGGGCTCCAGGAAGAATAATCTCTTTCTCCCTGGGCGCCCCCCACCCCACCCCNTTTCCCAGCTCACTCAGAGTAAAATATAATGGCCTGCAAGGCCCTTGCTAATGCTCTGACATCATCTTTTATTCCCCACCCCACACACACACTCTCTAGTTAAATATACCCGGGCCCCACCCTGAGGGCTTGCAGCCAGGACACTAGTAGACAGATTCGGGAATGCTGGGGAGGGGAGCCATCCCAGACCCCTCCTCACCCTCTCCTCTGTATTCTCTCCAGCTTAGTATCCGTAGTCACTCTATCGCAATTGTCAAATGAGGAAACTGAGAACTAGAAAGAAGCAGAGATAGTACACAAATCATACATGTTAGAAAACAGGACATCCCCCGCCCCCCAAAACCTGAGGGTCTTTGCCCCTTGCTTGCCCCAACCCCACTCTTTCCCAAGATACCCCTCCCTGCCCCACCAGCCCTGAGTCTGCTGAAAAGGGCACAGGGTCAGGGAGGAGGGAGCCCTGGGTCCCCTTACGCAGTAACCTGACTCTCCGACCAGATGGACACTTTGTGCTGAGGCAGCGCCTTGGGGGAGCTAGAGAGGGGCACACGGGCAGCTGCTGCCCAGGCCCAGCCTTGTAGGGTGCTCGGGCCCCCTCTCCCTGAGCTATTTTCACTCCCAGACTTTCCCAAATGAAGGGGCCAGGACACCTGGGTTCCCAGAAGAGAAAATGATCCAGGCTGGAGTGAGGAAACTGGGGAGTGGCGGATGAGGTGTAGGGAGGTCATGGGACCCTCCATGAGGTCATGGGACCCTCCCGAGCATTTGCCAACAGTGTATGACTCCAGGAAAGGGCAGGGGGACCGGGGTGCTCAGAACAATTTGCAGGATCTGAGAATCCCAAGATTTAGAATCGGAGCACTTCTGCTGGGTTAGATGACAGGAGATGACCCCAGGGACCAGGAGGCTCAGCTGACTCCGATGGAGTGCCCTGGGTGATAAGCCTTTACCCCACCCCCCACCCCCCAGGCTCCTCCTGCACCTGTTTCCAAGCAGGACTGTGGTCCTCGGGTCCAGTGATCTCCTGGTGAAGTCATCCCTGCCCCGGACTCCAGCTGCCATCTGCTTTGCAACAACCCTTATACCCATCCCCACCCATCAGGTCTCTCCCAGATTCAGACCCACATGCCCCTCTTAAGACACATGCCTGTCTGTAATTTGCCTTCATCACTTAACAAAATATCAGGAATATCCTTCCAACCCAACTTACAGCCACCTACCTCGTCCATTCATTCAATGGCTACAGAGCGTAGATGCTCTCTAAATTAATCAGCATCCCAGGATGTTAGATAGTCTGGCCCTTTCTTTCTTGTCTAACGTTGTTTATTACAATGTAATGAACATCTCTGTGCTCAGCTTTAGCCCCACCCCACCCCTGTTCACGCCTCTGCATCTTGGAACACTCCCACCTCTTCCCAACTGATGCCTGAGTCCTCTTCAATCAACCTCATTCAAAAACATTCATTTAATATTTTTAAGGAGGTCCTACTATTTGTTGGGTACTGTTTTAGGTGCCAGGAATTCAGCAGGGGACAAAATAGAGCCCCTGCCCCAGGGAGCTTATATTGCAACAAGGACAAATGTTTCTATCTCATCCACTTCATCCCGCCCCGTTCCCCTCACTGACACCCTTTTCTCTCACCCTGGTCCCAGTCGCCACCTCCTAACATCTCCCTTCTGCTCTGCCAAGCTGTTTGTCTCCACTCTGCAACCAGAATGAGCTTTTAAACATATAGTTCTGCCCTGCTTCTCCTCTGCTTGAAAGCTTCCCTGACTCCCTGTTGCCCTTAGGATCAAGTTCAAACTCTCTGGCTTAGCACTCAAGATCGTGCATGACCTGGCCCCTGCCACCCCTCCGGCCTGCCTCTCACCACTTATATCCCAACACCCCCAGCTTCATTCCAGCAGTGTCCAGATAGCTGTAGCCCCACAAACGTAGCAACTGTTTCTCACCGCCGAGCACTCCAGCGTGGCTGCCCCTGCCTGGAATGCCCTTGCCTGCCCTTCCCTGCCTGAATAACTCCTGCTCTTCCATCATAGCTCTGATCAAATATTATTAGCTTTCCCCAAGAGGTCCTCCACCTGATTTGGAGAATTCCTCCCCAAAGTCCCCACTACTAGTCTCTCCCATCACTTCTCAAACCAACATGACTCTTAGACTGGCTGTGAGCTCCTTTAGGGCAGGGACCACATCTCATTAAGAATCATGTTTGTCAAATGAAAGAATGCCCCTTCCTCTGCCATGGGGGCCCCACCCAGACCTGCCTCCCCTCATCCCTGCCCTATCCAGACCCAGGGAATCCCAGACTCCGCGGTGGGGAGGAACTACAGAGAATCAACTGCCCTCCCTGTGCTTGGGGCCCCATCAAATAGTGCTCAGCACCCACTTACACACCTCTGGTGACAGGAAACTCACTTCCTTCCCTTATCAATGACAGCTCTTCAAATATTTAAAGCATCATCTTCCATATCCAGCTCCTAGGGCAACTGAAAAGCTGGTCTGAGGAAAGGAAGCTGATTAAGGGAAAGAATTCCAAATAACTTCCAGGAGTATCTGCTTTGTGGTGGGGGAATGCTCTAAATTGTAGAATCCTGCCAGGCCAAGGGAAGAAGGACCTGAGACATCGTTGAGTCTGACCCCTTAATTGTACACATGGGGAGACTGAGCCTAAAAGAAGGCAAGGAGTTGACCCTAGGTCACACCGAGTAGCTTAGCTGGGATTGGAGCCTAAGTATGGGTTCTACCAAGGACTTTAGAGCTGATGGCAGAACTCGGGGTCTGAAAGTTTGGTGGTTTGGTGGAAACTTGTGCACCAGGCTCCAGGTCACCCCCATCCCCAATAGACATATAGCCATATACCAGCCTACCTATCCCAGATGGAGCCTGAGGCTGAGGCTAACTCTGGAGGGCAGGAGAGGACAATCACCTCCAGAGAGTAGGTCAGGCTTGGCCTGACTGCCCAGCTGATCCTCCATGACCTGAAAAGCTCTTGCACACTCATAGTTACCTGGAGGCCAGTTCACAACAGCCCTGAGAGGTCGGTGGGGTTGAGACAAAAATGCACGTGTGCAGTCCCTCAGGCAAAACCCTCAGAGTCAGATGTGCTTAAACTCAGAATTTTTCAGGTGTTACAAAGGCAGGAGCTCCCTGCATTGGCCCTTGCAGCTCAGAGGGCCCCCAACTTTGAAGTATCTGCTTTATAATTTTGTAAAACCCATTCCAGTGCTTGATATTGGCCAAAGCTGGAGTGCTGATGACAAGGTGCCCCAAGTCCAAGCTGGGACCTATATGGGTCCTAGACCCTATTCCTCCTCTTCCAGGATAACTAAGGCTCAGAGAGGGAAAGGGGCTGGCTTGAATGCACAGCTAGTCAGAGGCTGAGCTGGGACTTGAACCCAGTGCCTCAGGCTCTGAGCTCTCCGCCCACAGAGGAGCCTGAGTACTGCCCTGAGCATTAGGTTCTGAGTGCTGTTCTCTGCCCCCAGACCTTCACTGCCTGGTGCAACTCACACCTGCGCAAGGCCGGCACCCAGATCGAGAACATTGAGGATGATTTTCGCAACGGCCTCAAACTCATGTTGCTCCTGGAGGTCATTTCAGGTGAGGGGTGCAAATCAG